CTAGCTAAGCATTTTATATTGAAGCGAATATTTATGGTGACAAATTCATAAAGAAAAAGTATTATGGTGACAATAATATCATATGAACCGTACACACACGCTTATGTACACATAACTTCAAAGGTTTATCTATATACAGATAATCATAATTTGTTTCTCATTTATTTTTTATTAAAAAAAGATTAGGTGCATAAAATATTCAATATACCCTCGAAGTATATGGTTATATATATATACATAAAACCATCTCTATTTGTAGATATCAACTTAAATCATTGAAGTTTGAGGTATCAAGTCTTGATCAAGAAACCTCTGTAGGTATACGAATTCTTGCTGGCCAGTGGAACTACTTCTTATAATTAATGTTAGTGGGGAAACGCAAATATCAATCTTGTGCCAATTTCTCACCACTCAATTTCATCATCCAATCCTTTTCACTAGGGATGGCAAAAATATCCGTAACCGTGGATATCCGCCCGAATCCGGCCTAATCGGGTAGGGTAAAACCCGAACCCGAAGGACATTTAGTGGGTATGGGTAAAACCCGAACCCGAATATTGCGGGTAATGGGTGGGCATGGGTTTCACACTATCCAACCCGAACCCGCCCGATTATATACGTGCACATGTATTTTGTCTAGAAATAATCATTATTTTTCTCTAACATATTTTATATTTACCATATAAATATAATATTTCCATGAAATTGTGTTGTTTTAATTAATTTTCTTCATTCTCGTGAAGTATTGTCGTACTTTTCCTCTTACGTAATGTGAGAATACGTATGAATGTTAACATATTGGTTGGAGTTATGAAGAGAAATTATTACCCATGGATAACCGTGGATATCCGAAACCCGAACGGGTATGGGCATGGTTTTGATTTTCTACCCGTTTCACATGTGGGTATGGGCATGGGTAAAACCCGAACTACTTTGGGTAGGGTAACGGATATGCACTATCCGTCCCCGACCCGACCCATTGCCATCCCTACTTTTCACAGAGAAATTTTAAATTATTGTTTTCGTTTGTTAAAATTCTTTAATATAAACACATGATTCGTGGCGGACATAGAATTATTGGACAAGTATGTTGATTGATAAAAATAAAATAGTAAATGAATAAAAGCTAAAATTTCATTGATGAATTTATTATTATATTATTTTTTACAATGCGTCACCATGATGAATTTTCAATTTGTATAATACATTTTCCATTTATATAGCGAATAATTTTCTGACAATGTACGCAACTAAGCAATCATTTATAAATTGGCTACTCAACTCAAGAAAAACAGCCTTTAGTCAGTTTTTTTTTTAATCGTGATTTCAGCGATTGTTTTTATTAACTTCATACCTGAAAAAAGCCATTTCAGACTTTCAGTTAATTAAAAATTAATGAGTAATATATGTTTTTACATATTTTAGTCAATTGATAAAACTTGAATTCCTTGTTTACAATAGAAGTGTGTCAATTACAAATACCAAAACTATGTTAGAGGTCCCGAATATAATTTTTTTTTCCAACGAGACCTGATCTACTCACAAAAAATTGGAGCCAACTACATGGATCTATCCCTAAATATGACCATCGATATGTAGTCAAATCTTTGATTTAAGGAAAAAACTCGAAACTCTATAATCAAATAGCTAAGCCTTAATCGCAGATTTAAAAAATTGTATTGTAGGAATTCATTTTGAAATGAAACCCTTTTGTGTTTAAAATATAAAGAAATATATTTTTTAATTCTAAATTTTGAATTCTGTGTAATTATGGCTAGTTTTAGCAATTCCAAGAAATTGAGGTGGAATTTTCATATGAATTTCATACGTATTTTACTAGTTATGGTAAAATAACATAACTATCCTCAATTATTATGTAAATTACCCATATATTTAATTTGGCACTAATATTATGTATTGCTCCTAACCTTCATCACTTTGCCACTACTTAACCTAACATATAATCATGAGGAGAACAATATAATCTCTTGGTTCGAGAGATAAGTGGGTTTCTGTGAATGTTTTTTTTTTTTTTGTGATGAACATGGATCTTGAAAGTGCTAACTTGCTTTTTGCTTGGTTGAATTGTTTGGATGATAAAGCAATGTTGTTTCAACCAATGTTGGAGGCGAAGCCTCATTGCCGTCGAATTGAATACAGGTGGCCCCACGTTTAGTAGACCCCGCTGTCACAAAATGGCAAATGAGGGTGAGGTTCCTGAGTAATAAAAAAAAAGAGCAATTACTTAACCAAATATGATAATCCTTCATTTCTATTTAAACTTTGCCTTCAAAGTTGGTCCTGCAACTTCACTCTAATGATCATGTCAGTTTCTGACCTGTCTCGATATATTTGAGACGGATATTACTACCGTTAGTTGTAGCATGGAGATTGGTCCTGCAACTTCACTCTAATGATCATGTCAGTTACTGACCTGTCTCGATATATTTGAGACGGATATTACTACGGTTATTTGTAGCATGGAGAAAGGCATGAGTCCTGCTTCCACCTTGTCATGTCCTGCCCAACCCATTCTCGACATGTTTTATCGTAATATGCCACAATATCTATTTGTGCGTATTGCTCCTCTTCTAATCGATTTTTCCTAAAATAAAATTTCCCCAATAAAACTACTAAATAAGTGTGAAACTCCATCTTTCAATTAATTAGAATTAATTATTCAACCGTTTAATTTTAGAGGGGTGGCTCTTTGGATAAAACCATGTGAGATCTATTGAATGTTGAGTGTAGAAAGAAAAGTATTTAACATATCATATACACTTGTGAAGCTCCCACTTTGAAAGTTGTTGTTGGGTAAAGTAAAGTAAGGAGAGAGTATGATCACTTTTCTTTCTTTTTTGCCTTGAATCTTTGGCCATCCATCTGCCTTGATGGCTGGTTTAGCTCCAAACCACCTTTTCCTCTTTCCTTTTGCTTTCCTTCAAACAATGAAACGGTGGCGCATATCCAGCATCCCCCCCACTTCCCATAACGTACAATCGTGTACGTAGGTTACTCCATACATAAACACATCCAATTAAATATTTCCACCTATTATTTTGTTTGATAATTTTGCTCCCAATTACAAAGATATAATTCGATCCACATACCATTATCTAACAAGAGCAACTTCACTTCCCATACGGCTTGATCTATATCGACTTGTTTGAAGCGCAGGAATTAACCGATCAGTAATCGCATGCGGGGTGGGCATTTCTTTCGACCTGCTCCATCCTCCTCGCTCTGTGTTCTCGATCCATTCTATCCCCTGTGTTCTCGATCCATTCTATCCATAGGAATCTATCTTCTTTTGAACTTTCTTAAATTATATATATATATATATATATATATATATATATATATATATATATATATATATGGATACGACTCGTATGCTCCAGACGCATAGTATGCTCCAGGCCCTCAGTGCCGTTGATCTAATCTACCGGCTTTAATTAATTACATTCAAATGAATTATTTATTAAAAATTATATTACAAACTACACCCTTTAAATAATTATATGTGCTATGAAGTCCCCCAACTATGATTACCATTATTTCATAGAGGTTTTGATTGAACCCCAAAAGTTTATATGATTGATAAAATAAATTCCAATAAGATTTGGCCCGAATTAATGAATGGATTTCATCACCCAATTCGACTCCCATCATCATCACTCATCAGTTCATCCCAGCTACCCCCAAAGAACTACTTTTTTTTACGGAAATCTTCATCCCAAAGAACTACCCTTAATTTGACAATCATCATCCAAATCCAGCAAACATCAAAACCTAAAACCCTAAAGCGACCTCATCATAGCAGACAAAGAGATTCAAACTTATTCCGTAAAATTCATGTTTGAGGATTTCAGATTATACAGAGTTGTGGCTTGCAATCCTCATCCAGTCCAAGAGTCGAGCTCATCCTCAGCTTCCGACAGGCATCAACTCCACCACGTCCGCGTCCCGGTGTAGCGGACTGGTGTCCTTTCTCGACAAACCGGAATCAGTTCACGGTGTACGACCATTAAAAGGACGCCGTTGAAAAATAGCAGAGGCTGCGATGAAAAGAGGACCTCGCATCACAGCAGGGGAATTCTTGTGACCGGAGTTGAGAATAGCGGAGATAAAAGAAGAGTCACGAGGAAACAACGGCGTTGCATAACAGATGGCTTTTCGTGCTCCCTGCTAATTTTAGAGTGCCCGGATAAATGATTTGTTCCCTAATACACTACAGCGTTGCATAACAGAGGGCTTTTGAATTCTCAAAAAAAAACATAGGGCTTTTGGTGCCAGAGAGGTGTGATGAATGGGAAGGGTAGGTCTTTTACTGCAATTTTGTTCTTGGTTTGTTTTCTCTGTTATTGAGGGTTTGTTCTTGGTTTGTTTTCTCTGTTCTTGAGGGTTAGTTAGTTGATGTAAAAGTGGATTGTGAAGGGGGATTTTACAAAATGAAAAATAGATGAGAAAGAAGATGGTGAAAGAAATGTAAACAATTAGGTGACTTACACTATGTAAAGAAGAAATAACGTGGTTTTGGGTAAAACGTAATGGTTAAAATTGTTAGGGGACTATACCGTATGTATAAATTTTTAGTAGGTGTAGTTCGTAATTATAATTATAATTCAAAAAATATTAATGAAATTAATAGTGTACCATTAGATTAGATCAATGGTGAAGAGAACCTGGAGCATACTATGCGTCTAGACCATACGAGTCTAACCCATATATATATATATATATGATTTATTAGACTCAATTATTCATTCTACTATATTTATCCAATCAAATCCAGACTTAATACGAAATATATATGAAGATTGAAATACTCGCCCGTAGCAGCTACCAATCCTCCTTTAAATACACCTCCCCTCTCTTCCCCCATCCCCCACACTCACAACCCAAAAAACGCTTCTCTCTCTATTGTTCCCTCTCTCTCTCTAGAAAAAAAAACTAAAAACCATATACGAAGAAGAAGAAACAAACAAAAAAAAGAAATCATGGAGCCGAAAACGCCGGAGGAAATAGCGAAGAAACTGTGGCACATCGCGCGCGTGGTGTTCTTCATGCTCCGGCGCGGGATCTCCAAGAGCCGCATCGCCGTCGACCTCGGCCTCCTCGCCAAGCGTGGCAACAAGCTCGCCGGCAAGGCCATCGCCAACTTCCTCACCTTCAACGGCCTCGGCGGCGGGACCCACAGCCACAGCCACGTCAGCACAGCTCGTCATCATCACAACAACAAGTCGTCGTCGTCAAGCTTCCTCTTCGGGTGCCGGTCGAACGGCGCCGTTTCGTTCGTGTCCCCGCGGGAGTACGAGTTCAGCTGCAGCAACAGCCCCGCCGCCCTCAGCAGCTTCTACCCTTTCCACAAGCGCCGGAAGGCGGCGGCCAAGTACGACGACGCGGCGACGGTGGCGGCCGTGCAGAGGATGCTGGAGATGCTCAACCACAGCGAGGCCTCGGCGGCTGCGTCGCCGATGATGCCGGGGTTCGGGAGGAGTCCGGCGACGGTGAGGCAGCTGAGGATCACGGACTCGCCGTTCCCGGTGAAGGACGTCGGCGGCGGCGACGGCGGGCAGGTGGACAGGGCGGCGGACGAGTTCATCAGGAGGTTTTATAAGGACTTGAAGTCGGAGAAAGCGACGGCGGCGATGGATCAATCTCCTTCTCCTTACCACAGCTTATGGGCCCGATGAGGAAATTAAATTAAATGGGAAAAGAAAGAAAGGGAAAAACATTTTAATTTTTGGAAAATAATTTGTTGACAGCAGCCAGCCATGCATTGAATTGAAGCCACGTCGTGTTCCTCTGTAGCTGCCGGGCCCAAAGGTCCATGAAAGAGCCAGTCTCACCGGTTAATTTCTTCTGTCCACGGCGGCCAGGATTGAAGAGGGACAAGGTGTACGTGGGCATTGGGTTGTGTTTGGGTTGGGTTGATATTCGTGATTAATGAAAATGAAGAAAATAAAAGAGAGTAATTGGACAGATAATGAAAGTATTTATTGATAATGTTTGAGAAAAATAACAAATAAGAAGAAAGAAGAAAAATGAAAGTATAGTATATATGTGTTATTTAATTTTTTTAATTTTTCGACCATTTTTACTTATGGTAGTAAACAAAAAATTAATACGTGGAGGCATGAAAGCCGAAAGATATAGAGACGCTAAGTCAAGATAGCCCCGGCTAGCTAGCGAACAGGGGAAGTCGAGAGTGACATCATACATTAGAAAAAACCATACACGGGCTACTGCCAAAAAAGGACACACACGGCAGAGGAGACTAATCCAATCTTGTTGCAATTCAAGAGATCAAATCGGGGTCTTGTTGCACGTACCCTCCGCGGGAAGCTGACACTTATGACGTCTTCGCTTATCATTATGTCCAGAACCCATGGAGGATCGTCTAGTTCATATGTACCGAAGGGATAGACGATACTGTGCTTCGAGAGCCAGTCTGCAACTATATTCAGTTCATGGTACGTGTGAACCAAAAGAGCCACCCAACCTTGCGATATCATACGACCAACAAATCCTAGAATGGTGGCATAAGGATGGGTACCATCTGTTCGCTTCTCAATGAGGTTAAGGGCTAGCTGGAAGTCAAATTCAAGGATAAGGAATTGGGTAACTCGACGCCAGGCAAGTTCTAAGCCATGGAGAATCCCCTAGAGTTGAGTCAAGAGAGCTCACCTAGTCCCCGATTTGTTGCATAATCCTCCCAAACAACCCCCCACGGCAATTTTGCAGTACACAACTAGTCGTGGCTAAACCCGAGTTGCCTTGACAAGCTCCATCTGTGTTCATCTTCATCCAGCTGGTAGGAGGAGCTGTCTAGCCAATTAGCATTTCTCGCACGGCCGATGGCTTCTAGTATCAAGATTTATACCTGCTAAATTCCAAGTCTTGCCCCATTCTTTTCCCTTTGCAAGAATATAACTATGGAGAGTAAGGCTGACAACTTAATACCTTTGAAGATGTGCTCATTTCGTCACTTTCATATATATATATACACGACATAATTAAGCTGAAGAAGGAAGCCCACTGCCCTGTCCAGCTTCCCTCTGTAGCATCCAAAAGGTTCTTCTTCAACCAGTCTTCATGTCTGTCATTGAAGAACTGCAAAAACCGATCAACATGAACCATTTTGGACCACACATAACTAGTTCGAGATCAATCCCTCAAGCAATACAAGTTTGTCTCTGGCACACCACTGCAGTTGGGGCATGAGTCATTTTGTGTCGAATGGTGAAGCTTCCTGATGCTGTTGGTAGCCAATTTGCCTTTCATCGCCAACCGGATGAAGACACACACCCTTTCTGGGGCTTGAAGCCTCCAAATGTTCTTCCAAAGCGATGTAGAGGGTTGTAGGTGTTGCGTGAGCAAAGCTTTAAAGGTCGAGCTCGTGGCGAATTGGTCGTTGGATGTTCGTCTCCCAAAGATTTAATCCCTTTCTGCAACTAAGGGGTCTACCATGGAAGCTCTGATCCGATTGACCATCTGGGCGAGGAGCAAGTCCTGAAAGTCTTCGATCTTCCACACGCAAGTTGGATCCCACATATAAGCTATCGGGTTGTTATTTTGTTCCTCGATTAGTTCCTCATTAGCACGATCATCCAATGGAGCCTGTGAAATCCAAGAGTCAAAGCAAAAGTTAGTGTCGATCCATTCATGATGTTATGCGCAAAACCTTTTTGTAGAACACTTGCAATGGAAGTGAAACTATGCCATGTTAGAGAACTTCCCTTTTTATGTTTAAGAATGGTGAGTCTTGTCTTCTCCCATCATATTTATCCCTTAAGACTTGAGTCTAGTGCGATTGATCCCCTAACACCATCTCCCACCAATTCTTAGCCAACATAGCTTTGTTAGCTTGTCGAATTGGTCCAATCCTGGATCCTCCAAGATTCCTAGCAAGGGTCATTTGGTCAAACACTATAGGATAGAACTTAGACTTCCCATCATCCTCTCCCTAAACAAACTGTCTATTGCTCTTGTCAAGGAACTGTAGACAAAAATCGAAAGTAACTCTGTCAACGTAGGATAAACACTCATTGAGGACGAGAGCGATCTCACCAAAGTGATCCTTGAAGTTAGAGAGAGATGTATGGTTTTCCAAGGAGCCTGTTTCTTTTGTATACGCAGACATATGCATTTGTGTCCAGCTTTGGTGATCCTCCCATTGATCGTGTTGATCCCGAGGTACTTTCCAAGATCAACAGTTAGCAGAATGTTGGTTTTGATGCTAAATTGTGGAGCCATGTCGTGAGTAGGCCTGTCTATTCGGTTTCGGGTTTTCGGTTTAACCCGAACCCGAACCAATATAAACAGAGTCGGTTTCGGTTTTTTCGGGTTCAACCCGATACATACAGCAGCGGTTTCGGTTTACCAAAACCCGCAAAACCGAAAACCCGCAAAACCCGATAGCATCGCACGCTGTCGTTGTTCAGCCCTACCCTAGCCTTCAGCCATTTCGTCGCCGTCTCTTCGATTTTGGAAAACGAAACAGAGGACAGAGCCTCCTCGACCCTCGCTTCAGCCCTTCACCTCGTGCCGTCTCCACCATCATCGTCCTCGCCGCGCCGCCATCATCGCTTCAGCCCTTCACCTCGTGCCGTCGCCGCCATCATCGTCCTCGCCGCGCCGCCATCATCGTTCACCACCATCAAGTTTGAACTTCGCTCTTCGCCTCTGGGTTCGAAGCTTCTGTTCCTCCAACTGCAGGCACCGGCGGCCGCTAAGGATACACTCCTACGACCAACCAAAGACGAAAACCAATTTGAGAAACAGGGGGATTGCGACAAAATAGACTTCAAAGGTTAACTCCAGACCTTCAATTTGATGGGTGGGATTGATCAATTTGTGGTGGTGGTGGGTGGTGGATGATATTATTCCAGAGATGGGTTTGATCTATCTCCTCCAATCTCCCTCAGACTCTGCATGCGCCAAACAAGATAAGAAACCTCCCGTACCTTAGGTTGACGATTCCAGCAGCTGAAATTCTTCACCTCCGACGGCTCGCCTCCGCGTTCGTTTGAGAAAACTGGAGAACGATTGACGAAATTGAAAGAAGGGGTTCGCTTATTGACGAACAAGAGAAAGGAAGGAAGAAAAAGGGGGAGAGACAAAAAGGACAAGGCGAAGAAGAAAGGAAAACCTCGAAGAAAAGCCAACCGAAAAGGAGAAGAGGAAAAGGAAAAAAAACCCAGAAACCACCAGTGATTTTTTCGGGTTTCTGAACCCGCAACCCGCAAAACACAAATTCGGTTTCGGTTTCGGGTTTGGGGGAGCCGGTTTCGGGTTTCGGTTTTTTGCGGTTTTCGGGTGCGGTTACCCGACCCGACCCGAACCGACAGGCCTAGTCGTGAGGAATGTTGGCTTTGGTGACACCATCATAGCCGATTTATCCAAATTAACTATCTGCCCAAAGCTCGTATAAAACTCATCAAGACACTGTCTAATGACCTGAATTTGCTAGCTTCAGCCATTGCAAAAAGAACGAGATCGTCAACGAAGAATATGCGTCAAATTTCAGGACCATTAGGAGTAAGGGTCAAAGGTTTCCAGTTGTTGGTCGCCAACTCGCCATCGCCTGTTCGATCCAGGGAGCTAATCTTAGGAGTATATGGACGACAAATTACAAGCATGAACCCCTTTTTAACAAACAATAAATATTCAAACTATTGATTAGGTAATCTACTATTGAATCAGTTTGTGACTCTCGTAATTGTGATGGAGAGCGGCGGCGACACAACGTCACTAAACGTATTTGCGACAAAAATGAAACTTTTGTGACGGATTCACATGTGATCACAAATGAGTATCTTTTTTTTGTGTGAATGGTATGTTCAATTCGTGCAAAAAATTAGTAGAGGGGTACGTTTGTTAATTTGCTATAGTAGAGAGGTACAAAATGTTATTAACTCTCATTTTTTAACATGCATCAAGCCGAGGGAATACCCCTTTTTATCTTAAGGACTTGTGCTCCAAATGTCTTGTAAAGAATATGTACATATTTTATTAATTGACTCATATAAACTTATAAACTGATAAATTGTGTCATAACGTGCTTGGTGGAACTCTATTAGCCAAACTGCTGCGATAATCAAAGATTCCTTGCCTCCTCAGTAATGTCCATATCACATGATATTGACAAACTCTTCTTACATGTCCAACATTTAAGTATATGAATGTTAGGAGACTTTTGTAGCCACTATGTCAAAATCTTAATAATGCAAATGGGTCTTTTAATGCTTTTAATTTCTGAAGTTGTGTGGACACCAAAGTCCACCAACTTTCTGTACAAAATTACAGACCATTATTATTATATAGCTCCACTCACCATCCCTTTCAGCTTTTGTTTAGACTGTAAGTTGGCTAATTAACAGACACACACTTGGAAAAAGAAAGCAAGCCATTTGGGGAAATCGCAAAAAGAAGTTCAACTCACAGAAAAAGCCCTCCCATTTGGCCATTTCCCAAGACCACCATCTTTCAATCCCTCTCATTGGGCACAAACTGAAAAAGTTTGTCGAAGAAGAAAACAAAAACCAAAAAACCTCATAATTGGTTTCTTTGAATAGGTTGGAATTAATAATTCGAGCGGTTAAAAAAATTTAATCATGGACCTTATACTATTTAATATTTACTAACACGTCTCTTTCACTCGAATAAAAGTCAACTCATATGAGTTTAAAGT